GGACGTCTGTATGAGTTTACAAAGAGCCTGAAACAATAGCTCCAACGGGTTAAATTTACCCCATTGAGATGCATGGGAGTTAACTCCCAGTGATCTGTGGGAGGAGCGTGAAGCTCCCACTGGCCTGCCAATGCCATCCCAGCAGAGGACTCTGTGAATGACAGAAACAGCAGGCCTGGCCCACTCACTCAAGCAGATATTCCCTGGCAGCTTGGGTAAATGGTGGGGTGTTTCCCCATTTCTTCAGGCGTGAAGGGAGTCTGCTGCCATTCCTGGATGAAATTATAGGCGCCAACTCCGTGGGTGCTCCGGGGCTGGAGCACCCACAGGGAAAAATTGGTGGGTGCTCTGCACCCACTGGCAGCTCCCCACCCTGCCCCCTCCCCTTTCCTCCCCTCCCCAGCTCACCTCACCTCCACCTCCTCCCCTGAGCACATTGCATCCCCGTTTCTCCTCCCAGCGCTTGCCACCACGAAACAGCTGTTTTATGGCATAACAAGCTATGGGAGGGAGGGGGGAGGAGCAGGAATGTGGTGCGCTTTGGGGAGGAGGCGGGAAAGAGGTGGGGTCATGGACGGGGATTTGGGGAAGGGGTCCAATATGGGCAGGGAGGGGGCGGAGTTTGGGCAGGGACTTTGGGGAAGGGGTTGGAATGGGGGTGGGGCAAGAGGGGGTGGGGCCGGGGCAGGGGGGCCCGAGCACCCACTGGCACCAGGAGAAGTTGGCGCCTATGGATGGAATAAAGGGGTCTTATGCTGCCCCTGCAAATCTATGAGGGGAGGCAGGATCATGGAGCGGAGGCAGGGCCATAGGGGTAGAGCCTAGGACCCATATTGCCTTAATTCTGACCAGGGTCCGACTGCTTTTGTTTATGCATAATAAGACACCACATTTTCATAGCTGCATATCTACAGGCCACTAACTTCAGGCAAATATGCTGCAGCTGCATAAACATAATAAACATAGCACAGACTATCCAAAGTATAGGCTGTCCTGGAAACACTGGCAGCAAGCAGTATCATTTAGGGGAATCAGTTAAGAGTGACTGAATAAAGTGCAGAACTGCTGAGAGGAAGCATGATTCTGTGAGTAAGACACTGGACTAAGATTCAGATTTAGGTTTGGTTTCTAGCTCTGCCACAGACTCCCTGTGAGAGCTTGGCCAGGTCAGTCTCTCAGTTCTATATCCATAAAATGGGGGTGATTCCTTTCTTCTCTTCCCCCAACCCCTTTGCCAGTCCTGTCTCTTTAGAATTAAATACTTCAGAGGAGGCAGCATCTCTTACAGTGGGTTTGTACAGTGCCTAGCACAATGGGGCCTGTAAAGGATCCAAACAAGGGGGAAACCCAAAAGAAATGAACAGAATAAGTCTGTCCCTTTAATAAGGTCTCCAAGAAAGAGCCCAAGAGAGAGACTACCACCCACAGCAGCCTACGTGGCTTCTGGCCCCCAACTCCTCAGCTTTTTATAGAGAACACCTGTCCCCTTCTCAGCTGCATCCATTAGTGAAGCATGCTGGCTGGCCGGCCCCATGTCTCTGGCCCTTAAAAGCCCCCTGTTACAAGGTCCCTGTTTGTAATAAGAAATAAACTGAGGGGTCCAACTAGCCCTAGATTTTGCCAGTGCTAAGACTGGGGGAGAAAGTGATTTGACTCACACACACACCCCACACATACACACACACTAAAAAAAATGATGGCAACCACCCAACAGATCATCTTTTTGTTGTGTGTTTGTACAGCACCTAACACAATGGGGTCATGGTCCATGACTGGTGCTTACAGGCACTGCTGCAATACAAAGAATAAATTCAACTTTCCTATCCTTTTTTCCAGGTTAGCAATAGTCGGAACGAAGATTTTGGCCCCTCCTTTCAAGCATTAGATTTTATTCCTCATTGCACAACTCAGTCCCTGGTGGTTCATTTTGCTCATTTACTTATATGGTCTAGGTGCTTAGATTATGCTTCGCACTGTGGTATTTAATGTACAGATTTTATTTTTATGACACCCCCAAAAAACTGTCCAGAATTAAAGCAGCAGATAAGAGAAATTGAGAGATCAAGAAAAACACTTGCATGCCTTTTAAACAATACTTCCCTTCCCAGGCAGCAAGGGTAGTTTTATCACACTTCTCAAAAGGAAAGCTAAGCAAAGTCCCCAAGCCTCACAGCAGCGGGGCACTCAAGATAAGACAAGGAAAATATTTCACTTGTAAGGAAACTATGCTCATCTTCTTGTCATGGCTCTCTTCTTTGGAATCCAAGGCAATAATTACAGCAATTTGTAGATAATTATTTGTTAATTAGAAACAGGCTTGCTGGATATAGTTACCATTTCCTCCACAGGCTGTGTGGAGCTGTACAAAAAGACCCTGGGGGATTGAAGATTTCATAGATTCATCCATTTGTTCATTTTGAAAGCCATCTTTGGTGGGTCATCTGCTCCCTCTGTGACTCCGTGCATCATGGCAGGATGGATTAATTATCCCTATGTATCCCAGGTTGATGAATGCCCAGTTGTCCCTTGAATACTTCCAGTTAAGGTGATCTCACCATCTCCCACAGCAGCTTGTTTCACTGGATAATCTAATGAACTGTGCAAATACGGGTTAGTTTCTGCCCATCAGCATTTAAAGACTACTTATTACAGTGGCAGATCTAAGGGCCCAGTCTTGTAACAAGTAGTCCCATTAACTTGACTTCAATGGATCTACTCATGCTAAGTAGCCCACCCACCAGGAAAGTTTTGCAGGATCAGTCCTGAAGTCCTATACAACAATTTAAGTCCTACATGTGATCAGGGGTCCTACCATGACTGTCACTTCTCCATTCCACTCTACACCAGGTTTAACCTTGTATCAGAGGGGTAGCTGTGTTAGTCTGTGTCCCCAAAAACAACGAGGAGTCCGGTGGCACCTTAAAGACTAACAGATTTATTAGCGCATACGCTTTCGTGGGTAAAAAACCCACTTCTTCAGATGCACGGAGTGAAAATTACAGAAACAGGCATAAATATATATTGGCACATGAAGAGAAGGGAGTTGCCTTACAAGTGGAGAACCAATGTTGAAGGTCAATTCAGTCAGGGTGTATGTGGTCCACTCCCAATAATTGAGGAGGAGGTGTCAATACCAAGAGAGGGAAAATTGCTTTTGTAGTGAGCCAACCACTCCCAGTCCCAATTCAAGCCCAAATTGATGGTGATGGCCAGCGGTGTTCTGTTATTTTCCTTGTTGGGCCTGTCCTGTAGTAGGTGACTTCTGGGTATCTGTCTTGCTCTGTTTTTCAGATTGATAGAGTGAGACAGGTACCCAGAAGTCACCTACTACAGGACAGGCCCATCAAGGAAAATAACAGAACACCACTGGCCACCACGAACAGCCCTGAAGTAAAACCTCTCCAGGTCATCATCAACGATCTACAACCTATCCTGGAAAACAATCCCCCACTCTCACAGGCCTTGGGAGGCAGGCCAATCCTCACTTACAGACAGCCCCCCAACCTGAAGCAAATACTCACCAGCAACTACACACCACACCACAGAAACACTAACCCAGGAACCAATCCCTGTAACAAACCCTGTTGCCTTCTCTGTCCCCATATCTACTCTACTGACACAATCCTGGGACCCAATCACATCAGCCACACCATCAGGGGCTCATTCACCTGCATATCATATTAATGTGATATATGCCATCATGTGCCAGCAATGCCCCTCTGCCATGTACATTAGCCAAACTGGACAGTCTCTATGTAAAAGGATAAATGCACACAAATCAGACCTCAGGAATGGTAACATATGAAAACCAGTAGGAGAACACTTCAATCTCCCTGGACATTCAATGACAGATTTAAAAGTAACCATCCTTCAACAAAAAACTTCAAAAACAGACTTCAAAGAAAAACTGCAGAGCTACAATTCATGTGCAAACTTAACACTGTCAATTTGGGCTTGAATAGGGACTGGGAGTGGTTGGCTCACTACAAAAGCAATTTTCCCTCTCTTGGTGTTGATACCTCCTCACCAATTATTGGGAGTGGACCACATACACCCTGACTAAATTGGCCTTCAACACTGGTTCTCCACTTGTACGGTAACTCCCTTCTCTTCATGTGCCAATATATATTTATGCCTGTTTCTGTAATTTTCACTCTATGCATCTGAAGAAGTGAGTTTTTACCCATAAAAGCTTATGCCCTACTAAATCTGTTAGTCTTTAAGGTGTCATTGGACTCCTCGTAGGTTTAACCTTGGGGGTGCTACTTTTCAAAGCATCATTGGGTTTTATCCTGTGTTGGTTCATTTCTTGGACACTGCCAAGTCACTGAGGCCTGAAATCCAGGTTTTGGTTTATCACTGTGACTTTGGCATCGCTGTCTCTCCTGTTTTTTCCCAATGGTCTCTAATAGTTTATTCTCCTGAGGACTGAAATGCTTTGGTCCAACTAAAGTCTTTGGGCTCAACATAGGGGGATATATATATAATTTATACAGGAGATCATATTGGAAGAGCTAATGGTCCTTTCTGGCATTAAATTCTATGAAATCTATGATGAGTGTCAGGATAAAACCCTAAGGTAAGTACAACAGCAGCTGAGTAGTGCATGAGAACCACACAGTGAACCTAGTTAGAGACAAGAACTGAGATTGAGCAGCCTAGTTTCAGTGTCTGTGCTGACTGAGACCGTTGCCAGGAGTAAAAGCAGCAGCAAGAACAAACCAGCAGTGACAGTGAAAGGCAAATTAGAGTGTAAACATTTTCTCCATGTTTATAATCTCATGGGTTGTTAGTTACCCGGGGAAGGCTTTATCTCTTTAATTTGGTGTTCTACATAGGTTTTCATGTTCTGCTCATCAGCTGAGTACAGTACAATCTCCATTAGCCAAAGGGTGGGGTGTCATGATATACAGAATCACAGATCTGCTTCAGAAAGTTACCAAACAGATGAAATTAAAGATCAACACCAGGTTAATTAGTACTTTTAATTAACTCACAGTTATCAAATCCTTTCGGATCCTTAGACAAAATTTCTCTAAGTGCAAAGCATTAGTTAGAAACATTATTATTTATTCTCCTCTTTTCTATCTGGGTATGTGCTGCACTTGGAGTAGCTGGACATCCATCCTCAGCTCCATATGACAGCTGGATCCTGCCCTCCTCTTCTAGTGGAGATTCCCCAAGTCAACAGCTTGCATGAAATCAGGCCCTGGGGGACAATCTCAGATCTACTAGCGCTTTGGTTCTTTAACTGCAGAGCAGTTAAATCTGGGGCAGAGCAGCAGGAAAAACTGGCAGGAGGGGAACCTGCTAGGATTGAGGGAAAGCAATGACTCCCCCCGCCAGCACAGTTTTGACCTGGGCAAGAGCTCACGTGAAACAGCTAGCCAGGGGAAGGGAGAGAGTAATGGCTCATGAGTGAATGCAGAGAGTTAAAGGAAGATTTAGAGATGGCCCTTCACAGAACTTGGAAGAATTTAGTCACAGAGGAGTAAGTTTGTAGAGCTACCCCTGTCACTCCCAGCAGCTCGAGATTCTCCAGTGTCCAAGCACAGGTACCCTGTGGGGAAAGAGAAAAGAGAAATAACCATTGGGGGACAAGTGGAAATTTTCTCTTGCAGGCTCCAGGGCATTCCCCAGTGACTCCAACTGGCAGCCTCAGGGAGGGGAAATACTCTAGCAGGAATCAGGACATTCTGCTGCTCGGGGAGGCTCCTACTTCACCCTCAATGGAGGGAGCAAAATCTGCCTGATTCTCACACCACCTCTAGCCTCTCAATATTGTTCGGCCTGTTCTACACTACAGGGTTAGGTCGATGTAAGCTGCCTTGTGTCGAACTAGCTGTGGAAGCATCTCCACTTAAATTTGACTCCCGCTGACATAAGGGCCTCTCTACACTGATTAGAAACACCCAGCTCCCCAAGCAGCATAGTCACGGTCGATGTCAGTGTAGACAATGTGTTGCTTACATTGACTATAACTGCCTCCAGGAGCTGTCCCACAATCCCCCACACTGACAATACAATCGATACAAGCGCTCCTGGTGAGGACACACACCACAAACACAAGGAGCCAAGTGTGCACACGCACAAGCGATTTCATAATTGTGGTGGCTGTATGCCAGCGTAAGTTAGATCAACATAATTTTGTAGTGTCGACATGGGTCTGAGTATATAAAGGATCTGGAGATAACAAATGGGGAGATAAGAGGAGACAATAGGGGCCCCAAATAAGGGCAGCTGAAGCGATACCCACTCAACCAACATCCTCTCTGCTCCTCTTTCCATCCCTACAGCACATTCATCCAGGGGGCTCTGATGGGGGAAGAGAGTATTTAATGGGTTGCAGAATGAAGTCTGAAGTTACTTTGAGTTTGGGTAATTTGGAACCTTGAAAAACCGAAAGAAATGTGCTCAGAGCCTTAGGCAGGCTAGAGAGCTGGTTCTGGCAGGGTAAAGTCTCCAGTCCCTGCTCCCCCATTCCTCTTAATTTAAGGAGAAACTGGTGTTTGGGAACTATTTTTCTAAGGCAGTGGTTCTCAGCCTTCTCCATACTGAGACCCTACCCACAGGTCCTGGTCCCATCTAGCCAAGACACCCACCCAGTAAACAATTTGGGATGGGCAGGGAGGTCATAACTGGAGCTGGCTGAAATTCAGGGATTTTGGTATTTACAAAGTTAATTTCATTTTGATCTGGAAGGAAAGCAAATTTACTGGAACTGGAGATCCCTGAAAATTTCATGACAAAACAGCAAAATATGGTATTTCTGAGACAAAATGTGAAATAGCAGCCATGAAACTGACAAGAATGTCAATTTCATTGCTGGTAGCCTCCCTGCCCAGAAACTTGGAGCCTAGCAGTGGCAATAATCCTGCCTGCAGATGCGGAGAACCAGTCGTCCCCCAGAATCCTGGCTCCAGCTGGGCACTTGCAGGCTGGCTGCTGTGTTGCAGGGAACCTGCCAGTCTCCAGCTGGGTGTCTGGGGGCTCAGAGGCTCCCTGTCAGGGCTGTGGACCCTGGAATTTCGGTAATTTTCCAATTTAAACCTGCCTATGTTTCAACAAAAGTTTCACGGACACTATAATAGGCATGACAAAACATTTTGGTCCTTGGCCGAGGACCCCTGTTCTTAAGAGAAATAGACCAAGAATGAAGAACCTGCTAAGTTTGTTTGTTTAAGAAAAGAGGGAATCATTGGACAGGCTTAGGCTGGAGAAAGCTTGTGAGTGCTTGTGTGAGAGAGATCCTACCATCAGGATTTTAACCGGTCATTCTAGTTCATTTTAAGTGGAAGAACTTAAATTTATGTTAGTGTTCTGAGATGAGAGAGAAGTTGGCAAAAGGAACAACCAACCAAAACTTTGCGGTCAAGAGTTCATAGGTTTCTTTTGATTTTAAAGGAGAGGTTTCTTAATTCTTTTGTACATAAATATGAATTTATCCATATCCAGACTAACTGTCTGCAATAAAGTGATGTTGCTAGAGTCTGTGGGGAAGAAGTGGAGAATTTGCCATAAGTGAGCACCACCACAGTCCAGAATTCAGATGGTCTGTTTCAGAGCTATACCAGGTCAGAGACTGATCTTTCAAGGCACAAAGGATGGCCCAAATGGTTCCTGGAAAGGTCTCTAGTCACTGAAGGCCCAATCCAATGTCTGTAGAAGTCATTTAAAACTGCCATTGACTTCAGTAGGTGTTGGCATAGGTCCTAAGAATCCAAAATGTGCTTGAATTTCAAGCTAACTGACTTGGTAAATCTAAATGATAGTGAAATCCTAAAGACTATCGGGCCATCTTACTGGGGACACATTTCACCTCCTTCGTTCACCCGCTACTCACCTTTCTTACTCTTCTGGTAGATGAGGAGTCCCATCACCATGAGGCTCAACCCCAGTACGAAGCCCCCAATTCCAATGAACATCTTGCTCTTGGCAGAGTCAGACTGTGCTACTGTCAAAAGAGGAGCACAGAGGACTAGGGCTCAGCCTGGACTCTGATTTCCCTTACAATATCTTTGTTGTCTTACTGAAGCGCGTGAGGAAGTAGGTATGTGGGGCACTGTGCCCCCTTCTAGATGGTTGTTACCCTGCAGCACCTGTTGCCTCCATTTCCCCCCACTTTCTTTGGCCTTCTCCAGCTGTAGGAGTGACCTGGCCCTCCAGCCAGCCCACTATACAGAGTCCAGTCCCTTCCGGGGCCTCAGAGTCCATGTTTGTTAGACTTTGGTGAAAGAAACAACCAAACCTTCATCCCAGCTGGGTTCAGCAGGCCACCTCTTCCTCCCAGGCATGCTCTGAGTGCTACAGTCTTTTCCCCATGCCGCACACCAGGTTCCTATGCCTCCAGCAACCCCACTCTCCAGGGGCTGGCACACTCCTCCCCTCACTCAGGGGCAGTGGCATTGGAAATATTTTTATAGTGAGGGTGCTGAAAGCCATTGAACCAAACTGTAACCCTTGTACACAGTGGAAACCACTTCAAGTTAGGCATGCTGCTGCTCCCACAGCGCTCCTGGTTCCGGCACCCCTGCTCAGGGGTTCAGGAAGGCTGCAGCCCAGCAGTGTCCCTGCCTCCAGTCAGGCTTCCGGTTCACCTGCTTTGCTCAGCCTTCTTTCAGGCTGCTCCCTAGAGTGAACTCAGCCCAGTCTCCCTCAACTGGGCTCACCCATCTCTTTATGGAGGGGGAGGAAGAGGGGAAGGAGAACCCAGCTGGGCTTTATCTCCAATTAGGCCTGGCCTACCTGAACAGTTACAAGCAGGTGGATTAATTGGCCTCTCGCGCACATATTAACCCTCTCACAGCACGTATAGGGCACACATCCCATCACAGTCTGCTTCACGGCCAGCCTCTGGTCGTCTCCATAGAGCTAGGAGTGACCCCAAGGCATCCTCCGGGGTTGCCCCAATGTCAGTCTCTTACCCCACTGCATGGTGATGGGCGTTTGCAGGCTGATGTGCTCCACTTGGCAGGTGTAGACATCTCCCCACCTGGGTTTCATTTCTAGTGTCACCTGGATCTGGAAAGTCCAGTCTCCATTATGTAGCAGCTCCCTGGATACAACTCCAGCTGTCTCCTCTTGCCCATTTTTGAACCACTTGGTCACTATCTCGGAAGGATAAAACCCTGTTGCGGAGCAAACCAGCAAGCTGGGGCGGTGGGAAGACTCTGCTTTCAGGGTGGAAATTTTCACTCTGGGCTTAACTGTGTGTGTGTGCGAGAGAGAGAGAGAGAGAGACACCTTGGCAAAGGGGACCCAAAGCACACACCTTCTCCTGTTCTGTCCTATCAGAAATTGCTCCTTGCTGGGACATGGGTGGGAATGGGCCCAGAGCGGGCCAGCTCAAGTCTACACCATCTGGATTTCTCCTTGAAACCCACCTGTCTGCATCTTCTTCAGCAGCCCTGACCCTGAAACGCACAGCCATGACTGTATTCTGCATGACACCCCTTCCAGTCACACTGGTCCCACCCTCATCACCGTCTCCCAGGTGAGGGATCCCTGAGGTACTTCAGTGCCTCCTACAGAGAGCTTTGGTAGGGGATGGGTGGGAGGGTTTCATCTGCTGCCCTTAGTCCCACTCCCACTGCCTGCAGGGGCTGGCAGGATGGGGAGGACCCTGTGTGGAGCTCTGGGGTCCTGGCCTGTCTGTGGGGCTCACCCAAATTATTTCCTTCAGTATCAGGTTTTGGGAGAATTTCCCTCAAAACTGGAATTTGGGGCCTAATTCAAGCTGAGAGCAATCCTTTGCTATTAAAGATTCTGTCTTCTCCAGTCCCGTCCTCCGACTCCCACTCTGCCCCTTCAAGATCAAACCCAGCCCCACTGATGCTCAATTGCTGCCTGGTAGGGAGTGTGCAGAGGGAGGCAAATATAACACCATCAGATCGGGGGCTGACTCAAAGTTCCCAGTTCCAATTTGGTCTCCTCCCCCTTCAGCTCACCTCGCCTATCCACAGTGATGTTCTTAAATCTCCTACGGTTATAACTGCAGAACTTCTCCACTGATGCCCACAAGTAGCTCAGCCACTCCAGCCTGTTCCAATACTCCGCGATCGGCCGACCCAGCTCCGTGCGGGCCACCGAGAAGCCCAAGTCACTGTCATAGTAACAGATCTCCTGCTGGCCCCAGATCAGTCTTTTCAGATACCTCACCCGCTGTGTGCTGTTGGTGTAGTGACACTCAGACTTCTGCTGCAGCAGGAAATGCTCTGAGAGGAGAGAGGAACAGGTCAGGAACCCACCTTCACCCACCTCTGCTGCAGCCTTTCCCCACCTCCAGTTGCTAGTCCCTTGCAGCCTTTCCCCACCTCCAGTTGCTAGTCCTCCCCTCTCACCTCCAGTTGCTAGTCCCTTGTGTTGATCCTGTAAGAGAATCTCTGAGCCCTGAGCTGGGCAGGGGGAAAGCTTTTGTGTTCCCCATCCCGAGAGCCCAAAAGGGCTTTCCCCCCCCAGCACTGGGGTCTCTGCTCACCTGGAGGGTCTGTGCAATGAGTTCTGTGAGTTCTCAGTGCTATCGCCACTATTAGAGCCCCAGCCCAGCAGTTCCTGGCGACCCCAGGGATCCCTCTGGGGGCCATTGCTGCTCAAGAGGGGGAAGTTGATGGGGAGATCAAAGCTGAGAACAATAATATTTCACTACAGCTCTCGAAAATGGAAGTTCTCTGCAAAGTCCTGACCACAAAAACTCAGGAAGTTGCCTAATACCTAGGGGATTGGGTGGCCCCCAGCCAATACCACTGCCAGCCTTGGGCCTGGGCCATATCATTGGTCACTAGGCAGCAATGGGGCCAGCTTCTCCTTTGCGGTAGAGTCAACTTCCTAGAGCAAGACAGACCCAGAGTCCCAGCAGCAGCCAGTGTCCCAGAACACAATCACAGCAGAACGGGCAGCACAGCACCTGGGATGCTGTGACTGTTGCTCCGGCCCTCTCTCTCCTGGGACTGATGTCTCCAGGCCCTCCCCGTCCACACAGCCCATGACAGGAGAAGTGACCTTGGAGCACACTGGGCTGCAGGAGGACAGGGGTGAAAGTCCTATTTGCTGGGACCAGTCCTGCCCATCCTGGCCACCTATTCCACTGCAGGCTTGGAGCATGCCAGGCATCAGCCCTACACCAGCAAGGACCCCACAGGCGAAGGGGGCTGAGAGGCAGCTGGGGGCAGCATAGATACCTTTGCTTCAAAGCTCATAATCAGACAGGGAGGGTCCATTTGTCTGACCCCTTCTGAGGGTGGGTGTCAGGGCAGGGAAAGGGCAGGGTGGGATCTGAGGAGAAACAGCCAAATGAAAAAGAGTCCCATTCAATTACATCACATAATGGCAGACAACTAAAAAGTGATAATATTTTAAGTGCTTATATACAAATGCTAGAAGTCTAAATAATAAGCTAGATGAATTTGAGTGCCTCATATTACATGAGGATATTGATATAACAGGAATCACAGAAACTTGGTGGAATGAGGATAATCAATGGGACACAGCAATACCACGGTACAAAATATATCGGAAGGACACAACAGGTCGTGCTCGTGAGGCAATAGCAGTATATATGAAAGAAAGTGTAGAGTCAAATGAAATAAAAATCTTAAATGAACCAAACTGTACCACAGAATCTCTATGGATAGTAATTCCATGCTTAAATAATAAGAATATAGCAATAGGGATATATTACCGACCACCTGACCAGGATGGTGACAATGACTGTGAAATGCTCTTGGAGATATGAGAGGCTATAAAAAAGAAAAAACTCAATAATAATGGGGGATTTCAACTATCCCCAGATTAGCAGCTCAGGACAGGATTCAGAGATAAAGTTTCTTGACATCTTAAATGACTACTTCTTGGAACAGCTAGTCCTGGAATCCACAATAGGAGAGGCCATTCTTGATTTAGTCCTAAATGGGGCACAGGATCTGGTCCAAGAGAGAATACAGCTGAACTGCTTGGTAACAGTGACCATAATATTAAATTTAACATCCAGGGGGTGGGGGAGAATACCACAGCAATCCACCACGGTAGCATTTAATTTCAGAAAGGGGAACTACACAAAAATGAGGAAGTTAGTTAAAAAGAAATTAAAAGGTACAGCACCAAAAGTAAAATCCCTGCAAGCTAAATAGAAACTTTTTAAAGACACACAATAGATGCTCAACTTAAGTGTATACCCGAAATTAAAAAACATAGAAAGAGGACCAAAAAAGTGCCACGGTGGCTAAACAACAAAGTAAAAGAAGCAGTAGGAGACAAAAAGGCATCCTTTAAAAAGTGGAAGTTAAATCCTATTGAGGAAAATAGAAAGGAGCATAAACTCTGGCAAATGAAATGTAAAAATAATATTAGGAAGGCCAAACAAGAATTTGAAGAACAGCTAGTCAAAGATTCAAAAAGTAATAACAAAAAAATGTTAAGTACATCAGAAGCAGTAAGCCTGCTAAATAACCAGTGAGGCCACTGGACAATCGAGATGCTAAAGGAGCACTCAAGGACAAAAAGGCCATTGTGGAAAAACTAAATGAATTCTTTGCATTGGTCTTCACAGTTGAGGATGTGAGGGAGATTCTCAAACCTGTGCCACTCTTTTTAGGTGACAAATCTGAGGAACTGTCCCAGAGTAAGGTATCATTAGAGAGGTTTTGGAACAAATTGATAAACTAAACAGTAATAAGTCACCAGGACCAGATGGTATTCACCCAAGAGTTCTGAAGGAACTCAAATGTGAAATTGCAGAACTACTAATTGTGGTATGTAACCTGTCATTTAAATCAGCTTCTGTACCAGATGAGTGGAGGATAGCTAATGTGACACCAATTTTTTAAAAGAATCCAGAGGCAATCCTGGCAATTACAGGCCGGTAAGCTTAACTTCAGTACCGGGCAAACTGGTTGAAACTATAGTAAATAATACAATTATCAGACACATAGATGAACACGATTTGCTGGGGAAGAGTCAACATGGTTTTTGTAAAGGGAAATCATGCCAAACCAATCTACTAGAATTCTTTGAGGGGGTCAACAAGCACAGGGACAAGGGTGACACAGTGGGTATAGTGTACTTAGATTTTCAGAAAGCCTTTGACAATGTCCCTCACCATAGGCTCTTAAGCAAGGTAAACTGTCATGGGATAAGACGGAAGGTCCTCTCATGGATCAGTAACTGGTTAAAAGACAGGAAACAAAGGGTAGGGATAACTGGTCAATTTTCAGAATGGAGAGAGGTAAATAGTGGTGTCCTCCAGAGGTCTGTACTGGAACCAGTACCGTTCAACATATTCAGAAATGATCTGGAAAAAGGGGTAAACAGTGAGGTGGCAAAGTTTGCAGATGATACAAAATTACTTAAGATAGCTCAGTTCAAAACTGACTGCAAAGAGATACAAAAGGATCTCACAAAACTGGCTGACTGAGCAACAAAATGTCAGATGAAATTCAATGTTGATATATACAAAGTAAAGCACATGGGAAATCATAATCCCAATTATACATATACAATGATGGGGTCTAAATTAGTTGTTACTACTCAAGAAAGAGATCTTTGAGTCATTGTGGAGAGTTCTCTGAAAACATTCACTCAGTGTGCAGCGGCAGTCAAAAAAGCGAACAGAATGTTGGGAATCATTAGGAAAGGGATAGATAATAAGACAGAAAACATCATGTTGCCTCTATATAAATCCATGGTATGCCTACATCTTGAATACTGAGTGCAGATGTGGTCGCCCCATCTCAAAACAGATATATTGGAATTGGAAAAGGTACAGAAAAGGGCAACAAAAATTATTAGGGGTATGGAGCAGCTTCCATTTGGGGAGAGATTAATAAAACTGGGACTTTTCAGCTTGGAAAAGAGATGACTAAGGGGGAATATGATAGAGACCTATAAAATCATGACTGGTGTGGAAAAAGTAAATAATGAAGTGTTATTTACTCCTTCTCATAACACAAGAACTAGGGGTCACCAAATGAAATTAATAGGCAGCAGATTTAAAACAAACAAAAGGAAATATTTCTTTACACAACGCACAGTCAACCTGCGGAACTCTTTGTCAGAGGATGTTGTGGTGGCCAAGACTATAACAGGGTTCAAAAAAGAACTAAATAAATTCATGGAGGACAATTCCATCAATGGCTGTTAGCCAGGATTGGCAGGGATGGTGTCCCTAGCCTCTATTTGCCAGAAAGTGGGAATGGGCAACAGGATCACTTGATGATTACTTGTTCTGTTCATTCTCTCTGGAGCACCTGGTATGGGCCAAGATTGGAAGACAGGATACTAGGCTAAATGGACATTTGGTGTGACCCAATATGGCCATTCCTATGGTCTTATGAAAGAGGGAAGAATCCAGTCCTTCCTACTGGAGATGTGGAAGCTGTGGGGACAGGAGGGCAATAACTGCTGAAGGCTAGAGAGATAGTGCCCCATTCCACAGTTGCTGGTTTATACCCCCATTCCCCTGTAGTAAGAGCCCAGAGAGGACCAGAGCCCCCAGCCCATTGTGCGCTGGACAGCACAGGGAGCCGTCACAGCAGGGCAGGGCTGGCAGAGGTTGGGACTATTTGCCCTTAGGCACATCACTTATAACAGCCAACAGCCCCATCCCAGCTTCAGACTCAGACCCCAGGGAGGAGAATCCAGCTTCACCAGTTGCTCACTCCCTGTGCGGGGACAGACCTGAGCTCAGCTACTGCGTCAGGATCTTCCCCCATACCATGCACATGGGGAGCTGCACCAGCTCTCTCACCCCGGGAGGCTTTGACATCGGATGACAGGACACCTGCAAAGAAAGAAAGAACCGATGTCAAGTCTCCCCAGGAGTGAGCCAAGCGTGTGCCTCTCCCTCTGCGAGACCCACCACCTGCCTCCCCTGTCAGCACAGGACAAATGCACAAGAGACAACCACAACCCCGTCCCCACCCCAGCAACCCTCACCCCACACTCCTCCTCATTACAGTAACATTCCCATTTCCATCATCACCAGGCCCATGAGGGGCCCCATCAGTTCCCCTCCCCAGCAATCCCATCACCCCCATTTTAGTGCTGGGATCTCTCTCTCTTTAATCTGGCATCGCTGCACGGCAGTTTCTTCATTGTCTCCTTAGCCTGCTATGTAACGCTCCTGTACCAGATATGGACAGGCTACAGAGCTTGCTTATGCACACCAGATTTGTTCATCATAAGATACTTCAAAGCTCTGCCAGGTATGGCTGAGGTTTGTTTAAATAAAGTATTTTACACACAGCGCTCCCTGGTGGCTGAACAATATAATAGAGATGAGCATCCCATTACATCTCCCCCTTTAAGTTCTACATTCCTACCATATACAATATTTACACTATTGCACTATCTTTGAAGTTCAGTATGTATCAGTCTGTTAAGTGTCTCTGAATTGGACTGGCTTTCTAATTACATGACCCAAGCGCATGACAAAGTGGTCATCTGGCTGTCCATTAGTTGCAACAACTGGCTGTGGTTTGTTCAGAATTCTTGAGTCTTCTTCTTCTTGCTCTGCATCTGCTGTCTGTAGAGTTTTCTCGGTTGATTGTTTTCTGAAGAACAAACTGTAGATGTCTGGAGTTTCTGCTGAACTCTCCACTGTTGGTCTCGATCACACACGATCTGGGTGCTGAATTGTTTTTC